GTGGCAGGAGGTCAAAGAACTGCTGAAGGAGGTCTTCATTGATTGCTATCTCCCGAAATGGTGCAGCGACGAACTGGACGCGGAGCCCAGGGCATCGGACGATTTTGCTCTCATCGTCCTGAAGCCGCATCGCTCGCACATCCTTCCCAGCCACTGGGAGCACTTGGTTGTCCCTGGCCTCGAGTTTACCATCCAATTCCGACTGAATTACTCCCTCCTCCGCGAAGTCAACATAGCCCGCACCAAGCAACCGGGCACGCTGCAGGGTGCTGAGGACAAGCAGGAGAAGAAAGAGAGCAAGGAGACAAAGCCGGTGCTGGGGAGTGAGGGTCAGGTAACCCGCGACGAGCAGATGACGGATATCATCTACAGTGTAACAATGCTGAGGATGAACGCATCCCAGGAGGTGGTCGTGACGGCCAACAAGTCCTCGGTGCACGAGCCGGTGATTGAGGAAGAAGACGAGAAACTCGGGTCGAAGAAATCGGTGCTGGAGGAGAAGCGCGAGGTGTTTCGAAGCGCGTTAGCATTAATGACTGGCCGCTTCGAGACGGGAGATCCCATTCTGTATATCCATTCCGCGGCGCTTCTGGCTGCCCTGCGCACGATAATCGAATTCCGCGTGCCTGCGGAAGAATACACCCCCGTTGAGCCGGGCGCTGACAAGATCTTGACCAACCTGGATACCGGGGTGTTTGTCTACCCCTTCGCTGACTTGTACCACTACAAAGACCGGCTGCTGGCCTACAAAACCGCCGACCCATCCTCTCCGTATGCCGCCGTCCGCCGCCGTCACAATCCGGAATTCAATGCTCTTTGTGACAAGCACATCGACATTCTGGTCCGCTATCTGTACGCGCAGGCTTCGATTGGGCTCAAAGCGGTGGAGGAACTGTGGCGCCACTCCGTCCCCAAGACGACCTTCAAGAGTCTGTGGCTACTGTTCCCACCCGGAAGCGAAGTCTACGTGCAGGATAAGGGCGGGAAGCTCAATGCTTACATCGTAGAAGCCTTCGAGGCCGCGCGCAGCTCGGAGCTGGGTATCTTTGGCGAGGGACAACACCGGACCTTTGCTCGCCCCTGTGAAGTGCGCGTCTGGAATCTAACCTTCGATGGGCGGCATCTCACGCGGTCCCTACGAACCATCTATATCCCTGTCTTTGACGGGGAGCGGGACATTCGAACCCTGCCCGTGCACCCCGTTCGTTTTGCCGACGACCCCACGGGCACCCTGTACCGCAATCTCGTCACCCGGGGCCAGCGATACGTTCGGATCATGAAGAAACCCACCCTACAGGAGTTCACGGGCCCCAGCACCTTGCAAGGAATCCGAAGCGTGAGTGACAGCCCCCTCCCCCCTGTTCTTCGTATCTCTTGTGTGCACTGTCTGACTGATATACACCTATCAAAACAACAGTTCAATCGAGCGCGGGTAGTGGTGGACCATACCTGTCGGCCATGGACGGATATTAAACGAAGTGATCATACTAGTAACCACCATATTCCTGCCAATCGCAGATTGGTAACCGAGGAGGCATATGGGTTGAACGAACTGGTCCTGAAGCTTGGCGAGCGCACGCGCCATCCCCGCTGTCCCTGCAAGACTTGCGAGTCCACCAGCCTCGGACAGACAGGCGTTCCGCTGCGGACCACATTCGATGACTACGATGATATCGATCTCAATGCCGACAAGCCGGTCACCGAGCATCAGTTATTCCTCTGCCACTCGCATGCCTATGCCTTTGTCCTTCGCGATAGACTTTGGGGTATGTAAATATGGAAAACCCCGTGCTCGGCCGAAGGATCTGTCCTTGCCTTCTGGAGAAAGCTATCGATTTCTGACACCGTTTCGTGTTCTGTTCATAGACCTACTGGATGTCTCGCTTCTGGAGGATCCAATTCACAACAAGAATGTTATCGACACCCTGGTCATGAAACCAGAGTCGAACAAGCAGATGATCCGGGCTGTCTGCGAGGTCTTCGGTGGCTCTTACCCACAACTGCCCTTCACCGCCGACTTCATCGCCGGCAAAGGCGAAGGGCAGATCATCTTGCTTCACGGGCCACCGGGGACGGGGAAAACCCTCACAGCAGGTATGCCTTCCCCCTTTCCAAGACGTCAAGCCCCAGGTTCGCCCCTATTCCCGGGCAAACCCTCTCCATCCCAAGAGGAGAACCTGATTACAGTCCTATAGAATCGGTGGCAGAATATACTGGCCGACCCTTACTGAGTATCACTGCCGCGGACCTGGGGCACGAGCCCGAAGTCCTCGAAACCAAATTGCTCAACTTCTTCCGCGACGCCAACCGATGGAACGCAATTGTGCTTCTGGATGAGGCGGATGTATACTTGGAGACCCGGTCCCAGTCCGACCTGAGGAGGAACAGCATCGTTTCCAGTGAGTTGAAGGTCACATTGCAGGGAAAAATACAAAGAGACCCCCCATCCCCCCTGTCCCCTGAAGTTTTCCGAGGGAGGGAGAAGAAGAAAACCACGCTGCAAGGCTAACCAGAGCTGCTTGGCCTGTTCTCTTCCGTCTGGCCGTAGTCTTCCTCCGTGTCCTCGATTATTTCCAAGGCATCCTTTTCCTCACGACCAACCGCGTGGGCCGCTTCGACGAGGCTTTCATGAGTCGCATCCACGTGCAAATCGGCTACGACCCGCTCGACGACGCGGCACGCGAACGCATCTGGGAGAACCACTTCCGCAAGCTCGAGGACAATCACCGGTCCGGAGGCCCGGAGATCCTTTGCAGTTATGCCGCACAGGAATGCGTCCGTGTCTCTCAGGAGTTGAAAGACTTGAAGTGGAATGGGCGGGAGATTCGCAACGGTAAGTCTGTCCGGAGGGCGACAAGCCCACCGAGCGACATTGGTATCATCCCTTCTGCGAGCAATGGACAGAGACTAACTCAGCTGAGGGGCGTTGATTAGCCTTTCAAACTGCCGTCGCGCTCGCGTGCTTCGAGGCAAAAGAACGTCAAGACCCGGTGCCCAAACTCACGGACCGCCATATTCGCCAAGTGGTGCAGATGTCGCGAAACTTCAAGGCGTATATGCATGCCACGCGCGGGCGGAATAACGAGTCGCAGGTGGCCTTCTTGGATGGCTTGCGCGATGATCGCCATCCCGCCGCCGGCGCGGGGGAAGTTTAGGCTTGGGCGACTTCGGTCGCTTTGGACACAACCTATCTCTCACAGTGCCACGGGCAAAGGCAACCAGTCCGCTTGTTTATTCGAGTTTGTGGGCCCCTGCTCCACTGCCTTGGCGATGACCAAGTACCTTTCAGTGTCTGTATTCCGTGATATACGGTACTAAAAGTCTCTACTCACAGCATGCGTGTCAAGAGTAGGGTCCTGTTCAACCCTGAACTTTCAACCACAGCTGCTCGCCCTGTTCTTTTTCATCCCGTAGATCAGTGGAATAGTTCGATGATCCGATCTCTGCATGACCGCTTTTCTGGACTTCGTGCACAGTTGGTCACACCAGATCATGGCGTCTGGGTTTGAGGAAAGGATCGCGCTCTTATTATTGAATTTCTGTGTACCGTATTTGAGCCTGCTTAGATCCACAGTCTTCTCTGTTTACGCTTGCAATCTCGAGATTAAAACACGGAAGGCCGATCGACCTTCATTAATGTTTGGAGCAACGGTACTGAATTCTACCGATATTGTTCCCAGCTAGGTGGTCCGTGCATACTTCCAAAACAGGCAGGCCGTCAGCAAGGCCGGGTGCAAAGATGCAAGTCTTAACATGCACGGTAGCTTGCTAAGTAGCGGTGGTGAGCGGCAATGGGTACCGTAGCCAAGGGCATGCGTAGAGTCGTTGCCAACCACCAGCTTTAGTACTTACAGACTTGGGGAAGGGGGCGGGGAGGAGGATGAGGAGGAGGCTTGAGTGCTCATGCAACGTCTGGAGCAAACATTTGCGACTCTCCATTTATGGCGGACGAGGATATCGCCTGGTCACTTTCATTGAGTTCCAGTTCTTTGTGGAGCAGCTCGTGGGCCGGCAATTGCTATTCATCAAAGTTCGCTTGGTAGCAATATTATAATCACCACCGATGTACTAGAACCCACATCGACGCCCTCAATGCTATCCTGCTGCCGCGGCTCCTTCACATTAGTTCCAAAGTTTCAACAATCTTCCAACCTGATGCCAACTGTTGCCGGAGCTTGCAGAATGCTGACGGCTGAACTCATATAGGCAGTTTTCATTCCAAGTCAACTTGAAACAAAGGACAAGAGATCCAAGGTGAGGGGTCTTCAGGACGCAACGATCATCTCTTGTCGCCAAGATGCGGTTTCCATTACATATTCTCTAGCTAACAAGTCTACCCGTCTAGCTGCCTGCTGGAGATTCGACTGACTCTATGTGCTTGGGAGGGATCTGAGGTGAATGGGTGATCAAAACAGTTATATGAGGCTTTCTGGAGAAATAGCTAAGAAACCGCAAAGTGGACGCTGTTTCTGCCGAGGTCCATCTCGGAGAGGTTTAATCAATGCTCGATACTTTTTTTTATCGATTTCCAAGACTGATATCAAGTTATTGGCGGCTGGTGAAAGTATTTCACCGTTCAACCATGTCCAGCTTATAATCTATATACACACCAAGTAGCACTAAGTGAGAAAACTGTAGCTACTAGGATGACATGGTAGTGATTGTACTCTGGAAAACCCACTTCCCCTGTTGTGGCTGTGTGGCTGCGTGGCTTTGAAGCACGCTTCACTCCTCGCTTAAATCTTCTATCAAGGGGTGATGTCACATCAATCCGATGCAAGATAAGATAGCAGTGCCATATGACATACATAGTAGATATACCTTTCTATTCATTGATCCCTTTATTGGGTCAACTGGCGAAGCCCGGACCCGGGGAACTGCGAGACTTGCCAGAAGGCCTAAGGCCAGCCAAACAAACCCTTATCGATAAGGGCAAACGGACTGATTTCGTCACTGCCGCCAAGCTTCTCTGCGATTCCATCATGGAACGCGCCAGGAAATTCTTCCTAGACTGCACCACCTGAGCTCCAACTCCAGCAGTCGATAAATTATGCATTGAACCACCCCTCGAGATCGCTGTCTCAGTACGGCGTATACATTTGACATTTAATACTCCCACTCCGCAAACCTTCTATGTCTCTGTCCCTCCAATCCGCCGCCACTCAATAACATCATCTCCCCAAGCCATCATGTTTTCCGTCATCATCCCCGGCCGACCCTGCCTGACGGACATCGTCGCCGTCGACGCGCAACCGAACGGCCAACCCACCAAATTCGCCTTCACCTTCCCGCAGACGCCCGCCTTCGACGAGCTGGTCGTCTTCTTCCTGCCGGGCACCGTGCTGCCCCCGGACACCGCCGCCGCCATCTACCTCCAATTCCCGGAGTCGGTCGCATCATCATCGGCCCCGCAGTTCCGCTTCATCGGCGCCTTAGCCAACGAACGGCCCTCCGCCGTCTTCAAGGTCCGTCCGCCGGCCCCGGAAATGGCGGCCTCGCTGTCGTCCGCGCTGGTCACGCTGGGGATCTCGATCGAGCCCGTGCACGCGGTCGCGCCGCAGCTCGCCGCGCTGGAGGCCGAGGAGAATCACAACCCGGGGTCGTCGATGGCGCTGACGACGACCCCCGTGCGACCCCCGATCAGCACCAAGGTCCTGGCGCAGCGCATTATCGGGAACGCCTTCAATTTCCTGGCGAGCTTTGCGTCGTCGGATAAGGGCCAGGATGTGGTGCCGCTCAAGAGCTTTCAGGATTGGTGGAAGAAGTTTGAGAGGCGGGTGGATATGGATCCCTCGTTCTTGGAGAGGGAGGATCCCACGGCGACGGGGTGAGCTGTCTGTGTGGTCTGTGGGGGGGGGGGTTTGTGCATGCGCTTGATACCACGCTTTTTGTGTATTGCAAATGATACCATTTTACCTGGACTTTTTGTCGGGGTTGAAAATTCGATCAGTTGAATTTCGGCTGTACGGAGATGAAACCAGTCTATAGACACGATCTATTCAAATCTATGTATTGCAAGTTCACCACGCCTGAATTCGAGTCTAAATGGGCGGGCTGCGGTCTATCTAACCGGCCAAGTTGGAGCTTACCTCGACTCAATTACGAGTTTCAAAAAAGCCACTGTGATCGCCACTCCATCATGCGGCAGCCCCGCCCGGCCGGACGCGTCCTTGGACATCTCCGGCGAGAACAACCCACTCGCCGTGCGCAGGGTGATCAGTTCGTCCATAATATCCTCCCGGAACTCCGGGTGGCCCTGCACCGTGATCAGTTTTCCGGGGATATACATGCCCTGCACCGCGCACCGCGGCGAGGAGCCCAGCGAGATCACCTCGGATGGATATCCGTAGGCGATGTCTTGGTGCATTTGGTGGATGCGCTAGCAGCCCAGTTCCTTAGTAAACCATCAACTTGCCCCCTTCCTTGGTGTGAGATTGGGGGACAGGCGGCAGACTTACCAACTTCTCCCTCCCAAAAAGTTCCCGCCCCTGCTCGGAGAGATCCACCTCGCAGACGGCCAGCTCCCAGCCCTTGGGGTTCCGGCCCACCTTGACCCCCAACGCGCGGGCGAGGATCTGGTGCCCGAAGCAGATGGCGAAGATCTTGACGCGCTTGTCCTCGTAGGCTTTTCGCGTGAAGTCCACGAGCTTGAGGATCCAGGGGTGGTCGGCGAAGGAGTCGTGTTCTGTGGGGGTGGGTTGATGAGCCGGGGTTTGGATGTGAGTCATCTGGACTTTTGCAAAGGCCGGGACGGGGGAGGGGGGGTGCATGTTTGTTCCGTGCAGGATGTACATGCAGATGGATAGTGGTCGCAGCATGCGAGAACAACAACAATCCGGGTGAAAAAGCAAAACGGGCAAGGTAGCAACCAGACACTCACTTGAGCCACTCAGAACGATGGCATCTACATCGTCCAGGTTGGGATACTCCTGGGCCGTCACGACGTCCCAGCCGGTAATGTCCAGCCCGGTCTCGGGGTCCAGTCGGTCGGGCTGGCCGAGGGCGGCGGCGCTCTCATGCAGTAATCTCGCGAAGACGCCGCGGTAGCCTCCGTACTTTGTGTCTACTTTGTCGACGGGGGTGTCGCATTCTAGGATGGCGATGCGGAGTGGGGGGTGCATTGTTGCTGGGGTTGATGGAGGAGGGATTTGGATGTCTGGGGTGGGGTGGGTTGAGGAGGTACTGGGGATTGGATGGTCTTGAGCACAGTCAGAAGGAAGAGTGGCTGGAAAAATGGAGTGACGATTGAAGTGTGATATACTCCGTAGTTGTCGGGGAAATAAGTTGATTGCGGGGTGTTCTATGGAGACGAAGCAGTGCCACCGAGGGATCCGCCACCGCCTTGCGGTTGTGTTGTGATCGCGGATAAGCTTCCCTCTTATCAATGTGGGGCCCTGGTCTTTGCACTCTACTCTTGGAGTATACTCGAGCGAACGATAGTGGTATCGCAGACTGCTTCTGCTTCTGATCTAATGCTTCTGATTGAAGGCTTCTGATTGAATGCTTCTGATTTGAAGAATGACGGTAGACACTTCAGCAGACTAGACCATACACTCAGACTGCCTCAAAACCTGCAAAATACCATACCTCGCGTTCGCAAAACATCGTATGTCAAGCTAAGCACGACATCTCCCTCAACAACTGCTCCGTGGAGGAATGGAGTGCACCCTGAAGAAATGAGCATAAGAAACATACTGCCCCTCTCATCACTAGTCATATCTTGTCCTTTTGAATGTGTGCAGCTAGATAGATAGTCAAAGGCTCCAAATTGAGTTGACTACAACGAAAACCTGACTGGCATTACTTCCCTTCACCCGAGGAGACTTTGATTGTATTCTCTTTCTCATTGTTGTGATAGGGCCGAGAACAAGGTCGGCCCCCTCTGGAAGGAGAAACAATATTTCCGCTATGCACACATGCCGTTTGTTCTTGTTGTCACTGTAGCTCATTGGAACCATTTAAGCCTGCTTGATGACTGACATGCGACCAAACACGGGAGCGTATGCATTGCAGGTAAATCATCCACAACGCAGGTCCCACAGAAATCAGCAAAGTTGTGTCTTTCAAGATCCTGGGAAGGTAGCACAGCGATCGTCATCGGGCCACTTGTGTCACATGAGTACCTGGGCAGGGAACGTCCAGCAATGGGCGTTTTTCGCTGTCCATATATATACGACAAAAACACCCGAAGCTCCAGCCATTACCTTGCTATGTGGGACGAAGCTCCTGGTATTCTGCGTATGTGTTGTTCTTGCGACTCCTGGCAAAAAGGTATCTCAAGCTTGACAGTAGATGGAGACGCTCCTCATCATACTGCAGCGTACCGCTATCCAGGGCTTGATATTAAGCCTTTAGGGGAGATCCTTGCTTTTACCCTGACTCCCCATCTTATGGTCATGAATGAAACTTGACTGATGTTTCAAAGCAAGGATACTCCTGTGAGCAAGGACCAATTCCAGATCTAACGTAGGACTTATTTCCGTAGAAATAGAAGTAGAGTGCATATGGAAGACACTGGCTGACTGAAAATGCTTTAGATGCGAGCTGACCTAGACATGAAATACAGCCAACTCCAATATGCCAATACTAGCTGACTGCACCGCAGTCCACCCGTTGTTATCAGATTCTGGGCCTGGGGTTTGGGCTACAAAATCCACAACTCCTCGGATCCTACTTGAATCCCATTGTCCACAGCAGTCGCTCCTACTCCTTCTGGGCTCCGGGATTCTGTTAACGGATCAATCAAGGTTCGGAAATTTATGTCAAGGTCTCAGCTCTGATCCTCCGCAACATGTTGGTCTTCGGGTGTCGCATTGGCCTGATTTTGAATTGTTTTTTTTTTGATGCATAAGGTAGGTGGCTAGCAAACGTTTTGGACATCTGGGGTACCTCTTGGCTCTAACGATTCATGTTCGGGTCTTTGACAGCCTAGGATAGGCTATATGGCCTGGGCACCCTCATGCCTTTCCTGCTTCAAGTTGACATCGCTGCTTCCCTGAATTTCAGAAATTCTATCGCCTACTGTTGACACAGACGTCACCTTCCACAATTTCAGACTTGGATGCCTCAACAATCCAGCTCACAATGACCATAAGGCAGAAGAACAACATTGAAGCCCATCAGGCATCGATTCCACGCTGAAATGAATAGCCTAACCATAGCAGCTGTTTTACTCAGCATCCTACTCAAATCCGGTCTTGCAAAATCTGCTGTCAACCCAGATCTCTGTGTATGGCTACAACCACCTTACCGAGCTAGCAGCCCATTCAAATTACTGGCTCGGGTGAGCTATAGTGCGCAGCCCTTAACACCAGCGAAATTAGCAGCAGAATAGCCTTCCCAGGCAGTGTTGCATACAAAGAGTCCATCCGTTCCTACTACTCCTTCAACGCCCGGCTACACCCTACCTGCATTGTTCAACCTCTCTTGGCGCAAGATGTTTCTGTTGCTGTTCGAACACTGACCACTTCGCATGTTGGGCCTTGTTTCTTCGCCGTCCGTAGTGGTGGCCACACGCCGACTCCCGGCGCGGCAAACATCGAGCCTGGAGTTACTATTCATCTCTCGTTGATGAATCATACTACTTATGGCCCCAGCACAGGCACTGCTTCAATTCAAGCCGGAGCCCTCTGGGGCGTAGTGTACGAGACTTTGCTAGAGAGTAACGTCACAGTTGCGGGTGGCCGTGTAGGGCCCACCGGCGTCGGGGGCTTTCTGACCGGCGGAGGGCTTTCGTTATACAACGCGCGTGTTGGTCTCAGCTGTGACAATGTCCGAGGCTTCGAGGTGGTCTTGGCGAGCAGCGAGATTGTCTATGCTAATTGGCACTCACATCCCGACCTTTTCAAGGCCCTGAAGGGGGGCTCCAATAACTTTGGCATCGTGACTACGTTTGATATGGATAGCCTGCCTGCGGAAGATCTATGGGGCGGCGCTCTTGTCTATAATATCTCTCGCGCTCCGGAGTACATCGCTGCCGCGACCGATTTCACCGATAATATCGCCACCGACCTTTATGGCGCATGGTATGGCATCTTCAATTACAATGCCACCACAGGTCGAACCGATATTGTCGCTACGTTGGCTTACACGAGACCCGTGATGCGGCCTGCAGTGTTTCAGAAATTCTATCAGATTCCTAACATCACGGATACGACCCGGATCTCGACGATTGTGGACCAGACCAGATATACTTATACATCTTATCGGTGAGGCTCATCTACCCCCACAGGCACTGTCACAAAAACTCAGTTCCAAACTGACATTTACCTAGCGTCGACGGTCAAACAAGCACTTATCTCAACAGAGCCGACGTTATCCGTCAAGCCGTCGAGACCCACTCAAAGCAGATCCGGAGGGCAAAATCTCGAGCCCGCAGCAAGGACTTTGGAATTATCTTAGTGGTGCAGCCCTGGGTCCCTCTTTTCTGGAAGGACAGCGAGGCGCGAGGAGGGAACGTGCTTGGATTGGAACGTTTCCATGAAAATATGCTCAGTGAGTTATATCGCCTTCTACCGCCCATCATCTCGTCCCGCTCCTGTCATACCATGTTAATGCATACTGATCGTGCGTGAGTCACTGCAACAGATATCGTTATCAGTTATGCCGGAGGCACCCAGGACCCGCTTCGTGGGTATGGACCGGTCAATGTGAGATTCATGCAGCAGGTGGCCAGAAAGTATGATCCCGAGGAAGTGTTCCAGCGTCTGGTCCCGGGCGGCTTCAAGCTCTCCCGAACTCTTGGACTGGGTTGATTGGGGGTTTCTAGGATCAGAAATTGCTCAAACGAGTCATATGTCGCGTGCCTTTTATCTACAAGTAATCATCGAAATTGCGGGCGCGGGAGGGTGCTCTTGAGCGCACCTTTGTATATGCCGGAAGTTACATACATGCACTTGATAACATGCGGCAATGACGGGGAAATACGTGATGTGTTTCTATTATTTTTATACCACAGTATGACTGTTACAGTTCGAAGATATCGATATATAGTGTAGTGGTCGATACCATTTCATCCAAGAGTTTCCCTTGAGATTTCGAAAGAGTAAGAAAAGTACCCAACCTTGAAGCTTGCGCTGCAGGTGAAAAGTTAAACCTCTCGTGGAACAAGCTGGCTGATATGCAAGTCGCCCAGAGCAGCGGAGTTGGGGTTTTGCTTTTGTTGCTGTGTTACAATGAACTTCATGCAGGCGGGAATTTCCCTGGCTTATGAATTAGGTATTTGCCTGTGTGCGCGTCACACGGCGGCTGCGAGCTTTGAGGTCTTCCTATATATTCGAATCGCCCGATTACCCCAGCTTGTTCGGGGATAGATATTGATGTTGAGCTGACAATTGAACGCGGCTGAATTGTGTGAGTGATTACTCTGAGAAGCCGATGAGGTGGAGGTAATCTGACATTGACGACGCTACACCTTGTACAGCTGGATAATCGACCAGCAGCAGAGTAGGCTCATGTTGACCCAGAGACCTTGAAGTTTAGACTTCTACTTCCATGAGGGATCCATGATGAGAGCCGAGATAACCAGGCTCAAAATGCTCATAGTAAGTACCGGCAATGGCAGCGGAGCCCCAGCGACTAAGCCCCATCTGGTTTAAGGCGCGATGCAACATCTGGGTCGGATGACTCCATCTCCAACAAATCATACTCCTTCATACTTCATTTGCATAGACCGACATCGGGTCTCACCTATAATAACCATGCATTCAATTGGCTTATGGAACTGCATACTACATCCGGCACACTGCACACTACACACTGCATCCTCTCTCTCTGCACGAGGGATTTATTCTCTGTAATTCTCTGTCACCAGATATCCTGATTATAACAAAGACCCTTCCAATCACTAACCAGGTAGGTGAGCTGCAAGGCAAAAAATTTTTTGATCTAGCGGCAGGTAGTGGAGCTCTTCCGCGGTCCCCTTCCTTTCCCCTCTTTTTCTTGTCTTGTCCGAAGACTTGAGGTTGGAGGCCGAGTCATAGTCATGATCTAGTCTATCGACCGAGTATTCCTCCGTACGCAGTCATATTCAGAGGCTAAAGCGCTTCCACCCGTCGACTCACTCCCTCCTTCACCACCCGCCCCGTGCACCACGATGGATCCTACCTGCGCCATGCATCCTTAGCTTCTCTCCCTTCCCCCCCACCCGCTAGAAATCTCTCTCTCTCTCTATAAATTTCGATTGTTATCGGACCCTATGATTAAAGACCCTTTTGCAACCCACGTCTGGCTGCCAGTACTCCATTTTTCTTTGCACAGAAAAGTTTTCTCTTCGTTGTTGCTGTTTCCGTGAAAACTTTTCAGTCGTTTTGTTTTTGAGAGTTCTTCCACATAGAGATTAGATTCATACATTTACACTGTCTCGCGATTATGACTGTCTCCCATGTGGCCTCGGATGCCACAGAATCAACGCCGCTGTTGAATGGCTCACCATCCCAGCCAATTTACACGCACACGCATACGCACGATGCTGGAAGCAACGGGCCTGATCCAAACTTACTATCCTCTTCCTTCACCGCCGAAGACAGCTCCGCTTTTCTCGGTCTCACCAGAGTCACCTCAATCCCTCAAGGTCCTGACATTGAGCCTACCCTAGAAACCATTCCCCCAGCACCCGAAGATGATGTCAAAGACAACAGTGATCCGGAAGCGGGTCAGAGGCCAGAAGTCGACGCCTACGCCTCGCGCTTCATCAACGTGTCTCCCATGCGATTCTGGCTCATCTTCGGTGGAGTTATGATGGGGTACATCATCGGATTCTTCGATTCCACCCTGATGGCCTCCAGCCACCCGGTCATCACGTCTCACTTCCACGCCTCGAACTCGGCATCATGGCTCTCGACGGCGTTCCTGTTGACATCCACGGCGTTCCTGCCGCTGTTTGGCCGCATCTCCGACACCGTGGGCAGGAAGCCTGTCTACCTCTTTGCCATCGCGGTCTTCTTCATTACTACCGCGTGGTGTGCGGCTGCCCAGAGCATGTTGAGTTTCATCGCCGCTCGGGCGTTCTGCGGCATGGGCGCCGGTGGCGTCTTCTCGATGGGCATGATCCTGTCTAGTGATCTGGTTCGCCTGGAGTACCGAGGAGTCTACCAGTCTTACGTCAATCTCTGTCTTGGTCTGGGAGGCTTCCTTGGGCTTGCTTTCGGCGGTTATCTATGTGATCAAGTGGGCTGGAGAGGTGCTTTCTTGGTACAGCTGCCCTTCATCTTTATCTACTTCATTGTAGCCGCCTGGACGGTGCCTGCCGACCTGGGGAGGAAACGAGCCAAGACGGAGCGTCTGACCTTTATGGGCTTGCTTAAGAATATTGACCTTGTGGGGTCGTTGCTCTTGGTGCTCGCGGTCACGGCGCTCATTATGGGACTCAACCTGGGCGGCAATATCTTCAGCTGGACTCATCCTATTGTCGTCACCTCGCTGGTATCTTTCGTGGTTTTCGCAGTTTTGTTCGTCCGCTATGAACGTAACGTGGAGCGGGGAGTCATGCCGATTTCGCTGCTGCTAAAGGAGCCGCGTGCGAGTCTCATTTTCGGGAATTTCTTCGGGGCGATCTCGGTCAATACCATGGTCTTCAATGCTCCCCTCTACTTCCAGGCAGTCAAGCTGGCCTCGCCTACAGACTCCGGTCTCAGGCTACTGGCTTCTACGCTTGCAGTGACGACCTCTAGTGTAGCGACCGGGTTCCTGATCACTCGGACCAAGCAACTAAAGCCGACGGTGATGATTGGTGATGTTTGTATGCTTATCGGAGGGATAGCGGCCGCCACCATGGGGGTTGGGACCCCAGATGTGATTGCGATGATGTGCGTTGCCTTGACGAGTCTGGGACAGGGGTTCGCGTTTCCTTCGTTGATGGTCTCGGTACTCGCGACCTCCGAACAAGAGGACCAGGCCGTGGCTACGACGACTCTAGGCTTGTGGCGAAATCTCGGATCAGTCATGGGCGTGGCAACGAGCAGCTGGATTTTCCAGAACAGTCTGCTGTATGAGCTTGACGAAAGGGTCACGGGCACCAACAAGGCCGACATCATTTTGCTGGTTCGCAAGTCTGTGCAAGCTATCGCAAAGCTGGACCCCCTCAGTCAACACCAAGGTAGGTCGATCAACGTCTTATACCGATTGTCGGACAGATTGCTGACATTTCTGCAGTGATCGGGGCATATGCCGCCGCACTTCGTGTGACGTTCTTCTCCGCTGCCGTGTGGGCTGCACTCATGCTTCTGCTTCATCTCCGCGTGCGCCTGCCCAGGCTAGGAAGCAAAGCATAAGTGATCCATCGAGAATTTAACCTGTATGATCGGTAGAGTGAAGTGGTATGCGAGGACTGATCCTTCGCTGATGAACTAACGAGTAGATGCAGCCATTAACTCCTGCTGGCCGTGACTGCGAAGTCCGATATAATCTGGGGTCATATCAATCATATTAGTGATTCTGGAAGGTGGTATACCCATTCAAAAGCATGCTGCATATTCAATAGGCACTAGAAAATAGCGAATGTTGTTATAGAAATGTACGGAGTAGTTGGTTGAATCCGGAGTTCCGCGGTTGCACCGGATTATTTGCACTAGACCCATTGGGGTTAGCTCTCCATGCCACAGGCAGAGCGACTTCCCCCGCAAATCTTTCGAGATCGCCGGCCGGCTTCCCTTTCATCCATTTATCCAGTCCTCCAGAGACACTGTGAGCTGCATTCTATTTGATGTTCGTACTCGTCCACCTGCCGAGCTTTGCTTTAGCTTTAGACTCTATGGTTGATCCCTGCAAGCTGACATTTGTTGATCTAGCTTAGTGTCCACCCCACGGTTTACGAGCCTCACCTCAGCGGCCGATGCACATGCATCCAACTTCCAGGACGCGGTCTTTTGTGAATCTTCTCTCTACAGCACACTGTCGCCGTTTGCTTCGCCCCTCCCTCCGAGCTACCGCTGCCACATGTGAATCTGGTGCGCGGACCAGAAATAGCCTTCACGGCGGCCGTCGATATTGTCACCATGCAGAGTCACCGTCTCTGGGGCTGAATTCGGGGCTTGTAGATGATCGCATCGGGACACTGAACATCCTCCAGCCTAGTACGGGCATCACTCGATAAAGCCGGCCTGCTATGGCCTCTACCGTCCACGACCATGTCTTGCCGACACTGGACCTTGACATTGTGCTGGACCTGACGGATCCTGGGGCGGTTGCGGATATTCCCGACCTGGAGTTGGACGACCAGAGCCCCTTCTTAGCGGCCGAGGTCACCACGCAAGGGACGACTCCGACCCCCTCCGACGAAGGCGGGGTCTCGACCCCGAACAGCGCTTCGGTGAACACACCACGCACGTCGGCTAGCCGCGGCCGACGGAAGGGCAAGGTCGCGACGAAGCCGCGGCGCGTCCGGACTGGCTGTCTGACCTGTCGAGAACGGCACCTCAAGTGCGACGAGGCCTTGCATCAATGTCAGAACTGCCGCAAGTCGGGCAGAATCTGCCGGCGTGGCATCCGCTTGAATTTTATCGACACCCAGACCGCGACACCGCCGCACTGTGTGGTCCGTCTCCAGGGAAAAGGGATCACTTTTCGCGATGAGTCTCGGATCATCGCGTCTGAATACGTGGGCGGATTCGAGAGGTACCCTCCGCTTGTTGCTGAGGAAGCCGAGCCTCACGGCATGGCGGGATCGCTGAACTCGAACGCGCCAGCCACGGTCAAGGATAGCTATATGCAAGGGTTCGGGAATGCTCAGTCCGACAATATTGGCGCATCACTCAGCAGCCTTTCTCATTCAGCCTCACTATTCCCAGACCCAAGTACCTCGTATGCCCCCTTTCGGTCGACACGACATGGCCATATCAACTCGACCAACCATACATGTCTCAACAACCCAGAAGAGGTGTTTCTCCTGCAAGTGTTTGTAGAAGAGGTTGGGCTATGGATGGACGCCATGGATGCGGTAAAGCATGTGAGTTTGGGTATTGTGATGTATGGCTCCGGCACGTAGCTGACCCCGCCAGTTTACCCAGGTATTGCCATTCCATGCGTTAGAGGAGCCAATGCTCTTTAAGGCTATTTTGGCTTGTGGTGCGCGACATCTGTACCATGTGAACCCATCTTACGGCGAGCAGAAGGCCGCACTCTTTCACGACGAAGCCTCTCAGTATCTTCTGCGGTCCTTGCAGGATCCGGATCGCGACTCTGCTTTGTGTGCCACAACCGCCATTCTTCTGAACATCTACGAGCTGATGTCGGGTCGACCGATCCAGGGCATGAGCCATATCGCCGGAGCTCGAGCCTTGATCAAGGAATGCAACTGGGATGCGAAGACCCCTGGACTCGGGGGAGCGTGTTTCTGGTTGAACGTTAGCATGGAGCTGATCAGCTGTCTGCACTTCAACTGGGCGCTCTCTTGGAACCCAGACTCCTGGGGTGTTGATTTGGTGTTTGACCAGGCCCAGCCGAGTGTAGCAGGCAACGAAGAAGCCTGGACCCACAAGATGGTCTTCATCTGTGCCAAGGTCGCGAACTTCCGGTCGGCGATGGGCCAGGACCAGGGCGTGGACGATCCCATCAGTGACGCACGGGTGAGCCAGCGATACCAGGAGTGGTGTACGTATAACGAATGGTGCGATCAATGGGTTCGGGCCGTGCCACGGTCCATGATGCCGGTCGGCTATCTTCATTCCTGGCAGACGAACTCCAAATCCGTCTTCCCGGAGATATGGTGAGCTTGCTGTGTTGATTGCTGTGTTTTGTGTCATAGACTAACTCGGGAAGGCTCATCAAACGCTCTACAATCGTGGCTCAACTGCTATACCATACCACTCGCATCCTGCTGACGAAAACGAACCCCCTCGAGTCCGAGTTCAGCGCGGAAATGCAGACCGTCCAACAGGGCCACGCGCGAGACATCTGCGGGATTGTCGCGCACTCGAAGGATCGGTGAGTTTTGTTGGTGCATCGCCTGTTCCACTCCATATGCTAACCTTTTCTTGCAGGGGCGTAGCGAGTCTATCCATCCGGTTCTTGGCCATCGCCGCCGGATGTCTCGTGACGCGCGAGGCCCAGCACGAGGTCTTCGAGATTTTGGATAACATCATCAAGGAGACGGGGTGGCGGACGGAGAACGTCAAGAACGAGCTGCAGGCGGCGTGGGGGTGGAGCAGCCACCACGGCCCGCCCATGGCGACGTCGGAGGAGATCGTGGCCATGTTTGGGAGTGGGGATGGCAGTGACCATCCTGATGCGCCCCTGCGACCGAGCCACATCCCGCCAGAGTCGAAGATCGTGGGGTTGGTCAACCCGCTGATGGCGTCGGCGGATTTCTCGATGGAGAACCATCCGTACCAGGATCATTATGTTGCGCCGCATCGAGCGTTGGGGGGGTTTACGTTTGGGTTGTAGGTGTGGGGGGTAGTCGTGGGTTGTAGCCTTGGGCTTTTGATTGTAGTTTACGAGTGATCAGGCGTTGGTTGGGGTTCTTGGGCGCTATCCAGCGAGGGTGGACATTTGGTGCTTTAGAGTGTACAGTAATTTAGCATATTCTATATTCCCGGCATTGGTTAAACTTAGACATGTTCATCTTGCAACCTCTTTCCGTGTATAAAACACAAGACGCTGTGAATATAAGAACTACTCAATCAGCTTGGCCTTGTGCCATTCTTTTCAGAACGGTTGGATATAGAAGCTTGAATCCCATACAGTCCATCAACCCGGAACGCCAAGACCGCCCGTCAACCACAGATCCGCGTCCACCTTCTGCATGAATCTAACACCAACTTCCATACATCCGCCATCTATAATTCCAATCAACCTCCACCTTCTCACAAACCGAACCCAATCACTCACTCAAACACCCTCATACCCCCCTTTCCCAGTTCTTTAACATAATAGAACCAATGCAATGACCACCCCCCAAACCAAACCCCCCGCAACCCCAACCTACATCCTCCGCGGCCACGCCGCCCAGATCCACAGCCTGCACATCTACCACCATAACCTGCGCTTAGTGTCCGGCGACGCCGACGGCTGGATCGCCGTCTGGGATCTGGTCTCGAAGCGGCCCATTGCCGTGTGGAAGGCGCACGACGGCGCCGTTCTGGGTGTTTATGCCCGGTTTCGGGGGGATGGGAGTAGTGGGGTTACGGAGGTTTTTACGTGGGTTTGCCCCTCCCCTTCCCCTTCCCTTGCTTATTTATGTTGTGTTGGTTCTGTTTTGGCTTGCTTGTTTGAGAGGTTTAGGAATTGAGGGGCTTTTTGAGAGATTTGGTTTGCTGATGAAAGACAGACATGGCCGCGATCACAAGTTGGGGGTGTGGCGGTTCAGCGTTGCTGAGGAGGTAGATTTGCGAAGGGGGTTGCCGGTCGATTCTCTTGGGGGTGCTGCTTCCACGGGCCCTCCGGCGGAGACGGGAGGAGAGGCAGGGCAAGGGGCAGGTGCGGGTGCGGGCGCGGGCAGGCAGCCGTGGTTGGTGCACTCGCTGCCTGTGAACGCGTTGAACTTTTGTGCCTTTGCGTGGGTGGATCTCTCCGCGCTGCTGTCTGGGCCGGTGGCTGTGCCTTCGGATGGGGATGGGGATGGGGATGGAGGAGCGGAGGCCGAGCCTGAGCCTCCGTCCCGGGACAAGTCCCCCTCCCCCGTACTCATCGCCGTCCCCAACGCCCTCAACTCCGGCGCCATCGACCTGTTCCACCTCCCCACCGAGCGGCGCGTCTGCACCATCCCCGCCGACGGCGAGGTCAAAACCGGCATGGTCATGGCGCTTACCCTCTTTCTTGGCCCCGAGGGGCGGGACCTCCACGTCGCGGCCGCGTACGAGGACGGCCGCGTGATGGTCTTCCGGTCTCCCGTCCCCTTCCAGGGTCTGGGTCCGCAGCAGCAGCAGCAGCAGCAGGGTCTTGCAGCGGGCAGCTGGAAATGGGAGAAGCTGTACGCGAGTCGCGCACACGACCAGCCGGTGCTATCGATCGATGCTGCTCCGTCTGGCGAGTGGGTATTCTCGTCCGCGGCCGATGCGAAGGTCGTTATGCATCCTTTTCTTCGGAAAGCTGGCGCTGGGGGCTTGGCGAGGGAGCAGCCGGTCAAGGTGGTGAAGACGCGGCATGCCGGGCAGCAGGGGCTGAGGGTGCGGTCCGATGGGCGCATCTTGGCGACGGCTGGGTGGGATTCCAGGGTCCGGGTTTATTCGTGTAAGACGCTGAAGGAGGTGGCGGTTTTGAAGTGGCATAAGGAGGGGTGTTATGCTGTTGCTTTTGCGGGGGTGGGGACGGGGGATTGGGATGGGGAGGAGGGTGAAGGTGAGGGTGACGGTGGAGGTGTTGGCTCCAGTGAGCGTACGCTTACAGGCCTTAACGGCAGAGGAGGCGGCCTGGCGGCCGTCCATCGGCGACTACGCAATCACAAAGTCCAGAATACCCACTGGCTGGCGGCTGGGTCCAAGGATGGGAAGATCTCGTTGTGGGATATCTATTGAAATGGTCTGTATCCGTCAATCTCTGGATTATTTACATGCTCTTGCTTTTGGTCTTGTTGGAAGAAATGTGAAAAAAGGTGAAGGTTAGTTAAGCAAGATTGAACTCGTTGGCCCCCGCCATGTGCTCCTTCATCTTGGCTCTCATCTTCTGCGCCGCCAGAGACACATCCGCGGCGCCCCGGTCCCCGTCATCCTCGCCGGCCTTGCGCTTCTTCCCGCCCGCCGTGCTGCTGCTGCTGCCGCTGCGCGCCGCCTTGAAGTCCTTCTTGGCGTCGCTGCTGCTCTGCCGCAGGCCCGGCACGTTGATCTTGCTGGGCCGGTCGCGCAGCGCGAAGCTCTTGGCCAGGTGGCCCAGGTGCAGCTCCTTGATGTTGAACATGTGGCGCTCGCTGGCGATGTGGGTCGCGTAGGCGCGGATGTGCGACTGGTACGCGCGGCGCGCCATCTCCAGGTACTGCGGGTGGTCGACCGCCCAGCGCTCGACGTCCATCTGCCAGTCCGTGGTCTTGACCTCCCAGTCCTTGCTCTGCGCCTGCACGTTGCCGCCGAACCCGCGCTTCAGGATGTCGTCCGCGTTCAGCCGCGTCAGCGCCTTGCCGCCGTCGCGGTACCCGCGCTTCAGGATGTCGACGTAGTTCTCCTCGCAGCCGGGCATCAGGAAGAGCAGCGCCCGTCCGTCGCGGCCCAGACGCGCCGTGCGCCCGATCCGGTGCAGGTGGTCCTCCGCGCTGAACGCCGGGTCGTACTCGACCACCAGGTCCACGTTGGGCAGATCCAGACCACGCGACGCCACGTCCGTGCAGATCAGCACCGAGGCCTCGCGGCTGCGCGCGAACGCGCCCAGCGTCGCCGTGCGCACGTGCTGCGGCAGCGAGCCGTGCAGTCGGTGCAGCATCACGGGGTTGGAGGGGTTGGAGAACGCGGTGGCCAGGGCGACGGTGCCGTGCTCGTTGGGTTTGGTGGCTGGCTTCTTGTCGTTGTCGGAATCTTCATCCTCGCTCGACGAGGAGCTGTCGTCGCTGTCGGAGCTTCCGTCGCTGTCCTTCTTGTTGTCGTCTTCCTCGGCCTTGAGCTTGCGCGTGAAGAGCTCGTAGTGGAAATCCACCGAGTCCGCACACGAGACGAAGACAATCGCCTTCATCACGGAGCCCTTGCGCATGAACGTCCGCTTCAGGAACGCCGTCAGCGAGACCAGCCGCAGCTTGGCGGCGACGATCGCGTAGGACTGCTTCAGCTGCGCGGGGACGCGGAACGCCTCGTCCTCGTCCTTGTTCTTGACGGCCTCGGGGTCCTCGTCGGCGGGGTCCGCCTGCACGTGGATCGCGTCCTTCAGACTGATCTCGCCCAGCTTCTGCACGTTCATCTTCAACGTCGCCGAGCACAGGATCGTCGTGCGCTTGGCCGGCACCCCGGGGATGCGACAGGGGCGCTGCCGAGCGTCCAGCTTCTGAATGATACCCTGCAGCTCCTTCTCGAACCCCAGCTCCATCAACCGATCACCTTCGTCCAGCACCAACCACCGCACATTACTCACATCCAGCGCCTGCGTGTTCTCCAGATGATCCGCCAACCGACCCGGCGTCGCGACCAGGATATTCAACCCTTTCCGGAGCCGCGCCTTCTCGGACTTCTTCTTCTCGCCACCGATCACCGTGCCGGCCACGATCCAGTGCGCGCACCGCAGCAAGCCCTCCAACACGACCGCAATCTGCTTGCACAGCTCGCGCGTCGGCGCCAGCACAATGGCAAACAACCCACTATCTCGATGCACGACCGACGACTCCGCGCCGCCGGAGGAGGCGGGCGCCCCCCCAATCGCCAACCCGTCCTTCCCGCCCGCCGACGCCTTGGAGATGCTCATCAGCCGCTGCACCAACGGCAGCAGATACGCCATCGTCTTCCCCGACCCCGTCTCCGCCTGGATAAACGCATCGCTCTCCTCCTTGAGCAGCTGCGAGATCGACGCCTTCTGAATCGCCGTCGGCGCCTTTACCCCCAACTTCGTCAGCAGATGCGCCGCCAGCGCTTCCGACAACCCCAGATTCGTAAACGTATCCAGCCCATCGATCAGCGGCGCGTTCGTCGGCTTCGCCTCCTCCACCTCCACCCCCTCCTCTCCATCCTTAGGCTCGGCCTCCGCATTCTGGGGGACAGGATTCTTGGTGAAAAGCGAGGAGACGAACGGCCGCGCCGACTGGTTTTGATTGCCGCGGGTATGGTTGTTTGGGCCGGAGTTGTTGTTGGTGGTGCTGTCGTCCGTCCGTTGGCGCTTCACCGGCCGCGATGAGACGGCGATCCGGTTGGGGTTCTTGCTCGTGTGTTCGGGCTTGGGCGCGTTCGGGTCGCGCGGCGTCTTCCGGTGCGCCGCGATCTTCTTTGCGCTGAGCCGGTCCCGCCATGTGCCGCCTTTGACTTTTGTGGTGGTGGCGTTGAGCACGGTGTCGCCTCCTAGGGTGAAATTTAGGAGGAGGCCGTCGTCGGCCATTTTTTTGGGGGGGAGGGGTTCGTGAGATGGGTTTTGGTAGTATTGTAGGTGTTGACGAGGGACGGGGTTGTTGGGTGAGGGGGGATTCGAGGTTGAGTTTTTTTAATTGCTGGTTTGTTCCAGACCGTTGATTTTCTCTGAGGCGGTCGGACTGCGGTTGCGGAGGGGAACTGAACTGCCCACTGCAGGAGGAACAGCTTTGCGGATGGGAAATTTTCTCGGGCCGAGTCTCCTTCCGAGCCCTCTCCATGTGCCCTATTTTCCTTTCTTGGTATGCGCTTAACCCGGAGGATCTGGGGGAGGGAGCGGAGGGTTAGTGATTGGCAATTTAATTATGGGGTTTGGATTATAGGTATATGGTCTGTATTTAGTCTAGTTTACATTGTATAAAACATCTTTTCTGGGTGGTTTGGGGTATATGGACTGTACTGTTCGGTATAGCGCGTAGAACCTGACCCGAAGCAACCAAGCAAGCAAGCAAGCAGCTACGCCCGCGGCGCAAAGATCAAGTTATCAATCAGCCGCACGGGCACCTTGCCCTCGCCCAGCCCGCAGTCCTCGCCGGGGGCCGTCTCCTCCAGCGGCGCCATCTTGATCGCGCCACTCAGAATCGCCCCCTTCTCGGGGTCGACAACCTCCAGCTCCTCCAAGGTCTCCGGATCCGCCAGCGAGATGTAATCGACCTCGAACCGCGCGCGCTGGTGCGGGCCCAGCGCCTCCTGCTCCTTGAGGACTTGCGCCGTCACCTCCTCCGCCGCCTCCAGAATCTCCCGCCGCTGCACTTTCTGCCCGCCTGCATACCGCTCCTCCGCCGCCTTCAACGCGCGATACAGCACCAACCCCACGCTCCGCCTTCTGCTCCCGAGATACACATTCCGCGAACTCATCGCCAACCCATCGGCCTCGCGCACCGTCGCCCCGATCTTGATCTCCGTATCCACGTGGAAATCCTTGACCATGCGCCGGACCACGACCGTCTGCTGCACATCCTTCTGACCGAAATACGCGCGCTCCGCGCCCACGATGTTGAACAGCTTCATGCACACGGTCGCCACCCCGCGGAAGAAGACGGGCCGCGCCGCGCCCTCGAGCTTCCGGGCGATGGGCGTGATCGTCACGAAGGAGCCGTCGCCGTCGATCTCCGAGGTCGGCGGCAGCGACGGGTACATGACCTGCGCGGTCGGGGCGAGGATCGCGGTGATGCGGCCCTGGGGCTGCGGGGAGGCGTTGTTTGTATTGTTGGTGGAGCCAGCAAGCTCCGCGTTCAGCGCCTCCAGCTTGGCGACGTCGCTGTCCCAGGTGCGCGGGTAGCTGGACAGGTCCTCGTTCACGCCGAACTGCGTCGGGTTCACGAAGATGCTGACGATCACGTCCGTGTTTTCGGCCGCCGCTTGGCGGATCAGCGACAGGTGGCCCTCGTGGAGGGCGCCCATCGTCGGCACGAGGCCCACGGTCCGGTTGGAGAGGAGCATTTCTCGGCGGAGGGCGCGGAGCGGGGGCACGTCCCGGAAGACTTGGAAGGTGTGCTGTTTGTTGGGAGGTGCGGGGGTGGTCATTGTGCTGGACGTGGTGGGTTTGAGGCGGGATGCGGCGGCTTTTTTGGAGGAGTTTTAGTATGGGTTGGGGTGCATGGGGGGAGGTGGATGTGCAGAGGAGATGGGTGCGTACTGGAGAATTGCCGTCGTAAGGTGAACATTGTGTCTGGGGGTGCGGTGACAAGGATCGAGGTGTTGGATGGATTTTTGGGTGGCTGTTCGGTCTGGCGGATGCGATGAATGCTTCTTTGCCTTTGCGGGTCCCCGCTGTGGAGCTGTTCTGTTCTGTTCTGTCTGCTAACTACCGTCTTGGGGTGATGCTTCAAGGGGACGGCGGTCGACAGGGGAAATGGTCAGTGAAGTTTCTGGAGGAAATGGCCGGGGTCAGATCATCTGGAAATGATCGCATGGATGCTCTGCGGTCCATCCCGAACCAGGCAGACGCAAGAGGCGAGAGGGGAGGAAAAGGTAGAAGGGGATGGGATGATGGATCGTGCTGATGGCTGCTGCGTTGACCTCATCCTTTGCCGCTGCTTCTCCATTGGGTTTAGTGTCTTTAGTGTCTCCTGGTACAGTACCGTCACTTTCACGTGAGCACATCCGAGGTAAGTTAACGTACTGTATCCGTAAGTTAACGGTCAAGCCACTCCGTACTCTGGGGAAATAGCGCGGAGATCGTCCCTTTTCTCGTTTCTTGCTCCAATTCCATCAGCATCCTGGAGCTATCTGATCATGGCTCCAGCTCTCTACCCACTTCCTCTCACCTGATCATCTTCTTCTTCAACTTCACCTTCATCTTCATCTTCATTGCCTGATGCTTTAACGAACCGTGTTGAGCTTGATCTCCATCTCCCATCCCTGTCCGACCAACCAACAATTCCCTCGGCGTTCCCGCGTATAGCACCACCACGACCCCCCCAATCTCAACCACAATGCCCTCCGACACCAACCCCCCAGTCGGCGAATCCGCCCCCGACCTCGAGATCGTCGGCAACAAGCTCACCATCCACCCCAGCGGCGTCACCGGCGGGCCCGAGCCCCAAGATGACCAGATCACCGAGCGCAACCTCGTCCGCCACATGGCGCGCTTCCGCGAGAACCCCTTCGACTTCCTCCGCGAGGTCAGCCTCTACATGTCCGGCACCGGCTGGCGCGCCTACGACCAGGTCATCGGCCAGCCCATCTTCTACCCAGGCTTCTCCGAGCGCATGAAGTCCCGCATCCTCGCCAGCCCGCTGCTGCAGGGGAAAGTGAAGGAGCTGGCCGAGCTGCGTCTGGCGGTGGAAGTGCAGGAAGGGCTGCTGGACGTGGTCCCTGGTCCGTCGCGGGACGCGAAGAAGGTGCACCGGCGGAATGAGATCGAGACCCACCTCAAGGAGGTGGTCGACTCCATGCTGGAGAATATGATCTGCAAGATGGAGAGCAGGCGGTTTATTCGTGGCGCCTACTATGTCGCTACGCAGCTGCTGACGAGGGCGTATCATCAGGGTATGTATTGGGCACGACGGTGGCTGATATGGGTGCTGATGTCGGGTAGGGATCCATGTGTCTAGCGAGGAGGTCCTCCGGTTAAGGTCGGTGGCCGAGGAGGCGGCGCGGAAGAAACGGTCCATTGTCTTCCTGCCGTGCCACAAATCCCACGTCGACTATGTGTCGCTGCAGTTGATCTGTTACCGTCTGGGGATCGGGCTTCCGGTGGTGGTCGCCGGTGATAATCTCAATTTCCCGCTGGTGGGCCCATTCTTGCAGCATGCAGGTAAGATTACGGCTGCTCGGCTTTGCTTATCTGTACGGACGGCTGACGGATGGTGGGCGCAGGGGCGATGTGGATTCGTCGGAGCTTTGGGAATGATCCGCTCTATAATACTGTCGTGCAGGCGTATATCGACACGCTCCTGCAGCAGGGGTTCAACTTCGAGTGTTTTATTGAAGGTGGTCGGTCGCGGACGGGGAAGCTGCTGTCGCCCAAATTTGGGATCCTGAGCTTTATCCTGGATAGTGTCTTGTCGGGCCGGGTGGAAGATACGATTATCTGCCCTGTTAGCACACAATACGACAAGGTCATCGAGACTGAGTATGGCGCCAAGTCCTGGTCCGTGGCTGTTGGCTAATCGCGACTCCAGGTCCTACATCAGCGAGCTGTTGGGTCAGCCGAAACGAAAGGAGAACCTGGCGGATTTTCTTTCCTCCTCGTCCGTCTTGTCCTTGAAGCTGGGTCGGGTCGACGTCCGCTTCCATGAACCATGGAGCCTGAAAGAGTTCATCACCCAGCAGTTGACACGGCTCCCAGACCAAATCACCGAGATTGGCAGTCAGAAGCTGAGCAATGTGGAGCGAGGCCGCATCTTAAGGTCGTTAGGGTACCGGGTGCTGTCAGATATCAACAATGTGTCAGTCATGATGCCCACCGCTCTGGTCGGAACGGTGCTTCTCACGCTGCGTGGCCGCGGGGTGGGCAAGGGCGAGCTCGTGCGACGCGTCGAATGGCTCAGTGAACGGGTCAAAGCCAAAGGCGGCCGCGTGGCGCACTTTTACAGATTCCCCACCGAAGTGGTCGTCGACCGCGCACTGGAGGTGTTGGGGCCGCAGATTGTGGGCAAGGTGACCGGACTGGTCGAGCCGACCTACTACGCGGTGGACCGCTTCCAGCTCTCCTTCTACCGCAACATGACGATCCACCTCTTCATCACCGAAGCCCTGGTCTCGGCGGCCATGTATACGCGCATCAAACAAGGCGGCGGGCCGTCCTACCAGCGCATGTCGTTCCCCGAGCTCATGAACCAGGTCTCTTTCCTGTCGCAGGTACGTTCTCCCCGCTTTGCATCGCCCATCCACTAACCAACCCAGCTATTCCGCGGCGAATTCATCTTCCCGCCAGAAGGGTTGACCACCAACCTGGACAAGACCCTCCGAGGCCTGGAGAAGGACAACGTGATCATCGTCAGCCGCGACCCCTCGTCGGGCAAGCCGCTGACCGTCGAGCTCAGCGAAGCCGAGCGCCAATGCGGCCGCGAGAACTACGACTTCTACTGCTTCCTGATCTGGCCCTTCATCGAAGCGTCGTGGTTAGGCTCGGTCTCGCTACTGGGACTCACGCCGCCCTCCGACTTCCCGAAAGACGTATGGATCGATTTGAGCAAAGCCCAAGACAACGCCCAGCTGGTAAGCCCCCTTTCCCTTTTTTCTTTTTCCATCCCGGTTTCTCTCCAGGAATACAGAACTCACTTCCCGTACAGCTCGGCAAAACCCTCTATCACCAAGGCGACCTCTCCTACTTCGAAGCCGTCAACAAAGAAACCCTCAAGAACTCCTACCAACGCTTCGCCGAAGAGGGCATCATCCACATCGCCAAGAGCAAGGGATCCAAGGCCTCCTCGGTGCGCCTCGCCCCGGAATGGACCCCCGAACGCGATCCCGCCACCGGCCAGGTCCTCCCGCGCGGCCGCCTGTGGGATTTTACCGAGCTGATCGCGCAGTCGCGACGTGAGGGGTGAGTTTGCCCTCAGAAAGTCTTCCGGGCTTATGGACCCCCATCTTTTCTACCCAAGATATTATACGATACTAATTCCTATGTCTGTGGCCAGGAAAAACCGCCGCGACGGCGCAACGGTCTCCTCGCGCGTCATGCGCATGTCCGACCTCGTGGGCCGGCGGCTGTTCGAGGACGCGACCGCCGGCCCTACCCCGGCCGACGAGGTGGATTTCTCCGTCCAGCAGGTCCGGCGGAAGGCGATCGCGCCGACGGCGAAGCTTTGATTCTTCCCCCAGGGATTGGATAGGGAAAGGGTAGGGGTGGGGGTGGGATGTGGGGTGTGGGGGTTGGGGTGAATGGGTGAATGGGTGTCGAGGCTTGTGGGTGTAGGTGATCGGGTGGTTTGGGGATGGTTGAGGATAAGGTTTTATACCCTCTTTTTTTTGGTTGTTTCTCTGGAGTATAATGTGAAGTATACGAATATAGTACAGCACAGTAGTATAGTACAGTACAGTACATCAATGATATATCATCTCAAACTTGGTGGTGGGTTTTAGGGGGAGATTTATGAACACATGGTGTGAATGCGGTCAGTGTTCCTGGCAACCCCACTGACCAGCTACATCAGCCAGCATATTCCCCCTGCACGAATAGCTGCGATGCGATAAGATGAAGGCGAATTCTAGGGGAGATCTACAGTACTATCCCTCTCGCCTCCCTGGATGACCGTGCGAAATAACACCCTGCGGGGGGTCTGCTTACTGGTACATAGTAACTTATGACTTGTATGTCGATCTTTAATCAAGGCAGACAAACTACGCTACCAATGACGCGACACGACACGATTCAGATAAGATCAAAGACAGTCAAATTGGAGACATCAGACAGCTAACAGTACAGGTATCAAGCTCGTCATCACAACTACATCACAAAGATATAAGAATCACAATCTCAACCACGGCTCGCGCCCAACCTTTATTTCTTCTTGCGGCCAGTCAAGCCCAGGGCGTCGGTGAGCGAGGTCAATCCCAGGCTGCTGAGCAACTTGTCCAGACCCAAGCCACCGAGCAGGCCCTTCACCAGGGGTCCCAGTCCCAGACCTTCCAGCAGACGACCGACCAGACCAAGGACACCGCTCAGCAGCAGGCCGACCGCCGCGATGATCTGGAAGAGAGGCTCGCTGAGCAGACCCCAGAGAGGGTTGAGCTCCTTCTTGGCGTGAGGCATGCCGGCGATGCGCTTCTTGCCGTTGTCGATGGTGCGCAGCACCGTGTCGGTGAGTTCCTTGAGCTGGTCAGCCAGCGCGTATTCTTCTGGAGAGGCCTCGTGCGAGGCGGCGCGGGCCTTCGCAGTGGCGGCGATGCGTCCGTCGGGGTCGAGGGCCCGGATCGCGCCGTTGCATTCCTGGAGGATCTGGCCACCCTCCTCCAGAAGAGGCTTCACGTCCTTGACCAGCTGCTCTTCGTCCAGCTCCTCCTTCGGAGTGCGGTCGGCCTTGTCAACGTGCTGGGAGATGTTAGCAATCAGTCCTATACCATCGCCTGGCGCTAGAGTCTTACCTCGGAGATCATCTTGCAGATAGGACGAAGGCGGTCTAAGGTGGATCCAACAATCGCGCTCATCTTCTTGGCCAGCTGACGGTCCTCCTCCTCTTTCTTTTTCGCCTCCAATTCCTCGGGGGAGGGACCGGGCTCCTCTTCCTGCACCTCCTCCTCAGGCTCCTCGGGTTCAGGCTCGGGCTCGGGGATGTTCTCAATCAAGGTACATTCGCCAATCTTGTTGCCATCGTTGTCCACAACGTAGCCGTTGTCGTCAATCTCCTTCCCGATCAACGAAGGAAGGTCACCTGAGGTCAGCTTGCCGATGAGGTTGCCATCAGCATCGCGCACCTCTCCCTCCTTGTTGACCTTGCGGCCGGCCATGGGGTTGATGTTACGCTTCTTTTCCTCGGGCTCCCAGCGCTCAGCCTTGCCAATGGGGTTGCCGTTCTTGTCGAGAATGTCGCCATCCTCATCGACCTTACGGCCCTGCAGGCGCTTAGCGTCACCCTCGATCACACGACCAATGATACGGTCAGTGCCATCGGTGACCACGCCGTCCTTTCCGACGACCGCATTGTCAAACCCGAAGAAGGGGCCCTCGGGCTTCTGCTCATCGGCTCCAGGGACGAGTTCAGCCTGGCCAATGACCTTGCCATCGTCACCCCAGATCTGACCCTTCTTGTCGACCTTGCGTCCAGCCAGTCCCTTGCCGCCAGAGACGACACGACCGAAGACCCGGCCCTGCCCGTCAACGACGTTACCAGCCTTGTTGACGACCTTACCCTCCAGAATGGAAAGGTCCACCTCCTCGGGCTTTTCTTCCTCGGGCACCTCGTAGGGCTCCGCGTGACCCTTGACGCTGCCGAACTTGTCGATAATGTCTCCATCCTCGTCGACAGCCCGGCCGCGCAGGTTCTTCACATCACCTTCGGTCACCTTACCGACAATGTTGCCCTCTTCGTCCTCAACGAATCCTTCCTTGTTGACCACAAGGCCCTCCAGACCAGCAAACGGTCCCTCGGGCTTCTTCTCGCGCTCGTTCTCGGGGATCAGCTCGACCCGTCCAATGGGCTTAGGGCCGTCATAGATCTGGCCATCGTGGATCTCCTTGCCGGCCAGCTCCTTGGGGTTACCTTCGACGACCCGACCGATGGGGACGCCCTTGGGGCCGATCACATAGCCGAGCTTGTTGGGGGTGAGACCCTCCAGGCTGGAGAGGTCGATGGTCTCAGGCTCGGGCTCGGGCTCCTCGTCGGGAGTCTCGTAGTACTCCGCCTTGGCGATAACGTTGCCGTGCTTGTCGGTCACATCACCGTCCTCGTCAACGGGCCGGCCCAGGACCTTCTTGGCGTCGCCGTCGACGATCTTGCCGACACGCTTGCCGTTCTGGTCCTCGACCCAGCCGTCCTCGACGACGTGCAGGCCCTCCAAGCCGCCGAAAGGAGGCTCATCGGGGTACTCCTCCGGAGCGAGGGTCTGGGCTCGGCCGATGACGTTGCCGCGGTTGTCCCAGAACTGGCCCTTGTCGTCAAGCTGAGCGCCGAGAGAAGCAAGCTTCTTCGCATCACCCTCAATCAACTCACCAACGGGCTTGCCGGTGGCCGGGTTGATGATCTTGCCCAGCTTGTTGCAGCGCAGGCCCTCCAGGGAGGAGAGAGGGGGGAGCTCCTTCTCAGCTTCGGTGCCTTCTTCGGCTGCCTCCTCAGTTGCCTCCTCGGGGGCCTCTTCAGGGACCTCTTCCTGAGCGGTCTCATACTTCTCCTCGGCGGCATCTCCAGGGGCGCTCTCAGGGACACCTTCGGTTGCCGCCTCAGCGGCCTCCTCGGGGGCCTCCTTAGCCTCACCCTCAGCCTCGGTGCCAGCAACTTCAGAGCCGGGGGCCTCGGACTTGTCACCGACGGTTTCCTTGGCCTCGTTGGCTTCAGTGCCAGCAGCTTCGGTGCCTGGGGCCTGCGAGCCAGGCGCTTCGGACTTCTCGGCGACAGTCTCCTTGGCTTCGTCAGCCTCCGTACCAGGCGCTGCGGATTTCTCAGCGACGGTCCCCTTAGCCTCGTCAGCGTCGGAAGCCTCAGGCTTCTCGCCAACGGCATCCTCAGGGGTGAGCTCCTCAGCCGAAACATTATCAGCCGTCGACTTGGGGCCGACGGTGCTCTGGTCATCCTCAGGCTGAGCTCCGGAAGAGGCCTTGGACTTGTCGGCAGCAGAGCCCGTCGCCTTGGAGGCAGCCGTACCAGCGACGCTGGCCCTCTGCTCGGCCTCCTCGCCCGACTCACGGGAAGCGGCCTTGCTCGAGCCGGCGGCACTTCCCGCAGCCTCTTGAGGAGCGACATCCACGCGACCAAGGACGTCACCGTCGTCGCCGAGGATCTCGCCCTGGTCGTTGGGCACCTTGCCCGCCAGCTCCTCGGGCTCGCCCTCGACGAGCTTCCCGACCGTCTGGCCGGCATCATCCTTGATATCGCCGGACTCCGAGACAGTCTTACCCGCCAGATCCGCGACATTGCCGACCGCAGCGGTAGCGGTATCCGCCGCCTGACCGACGGTGTCGGCCGCCTGATCGACAATTCCATTGGTCTGCTCATGCTGGCCCTCCTCTTCTGCTTCTTCCTGGTCCTCATCCTGCCCATCAACCTGGCTGGCGTCCACGCCATCCTGCTGATTCTGGAACGCCTCCGCCAGCACATCGACCACCCCGATCAGATCGCCATCCTCGTCGAGGATCTCGCCGTTGTCGCCGACGGTATACCCGACCAGATCCTCGGGCTTGCCCTCGACCAGCCGACCGATCGCGGTCCCGTCCTGGTCGTGGATGAGCCCGTCCTCGCCGACCTCCAGGCCCTTGAGGACGGACAGGTCGAGATGCTCGGGGTGCGACTCGGTCGGCCCGCCGTTCAGACTCGGCGTCGGCTGCTCATTCTCTTCTTCTTCTCCCTGCTGCTGCTGCTCCTCCAGGCCCTCCTCCTGGGGCTGTTCTTCCTGGGGCTGCCCGGCCTCACTCTCGGTGCGGCCCGCGCGACTCTGGGCGCGGGAGCCCGACGCCGAGGCCGAGGCCTGGGAAGGAGCATCCTTGGGCGCCGGGACGGGCGAGTCGCGCTGCTCGGACTGGTGGCGCGCGGCGGAGGCCTTGCCCTTCGGGGTCGGGGTGGTGGGCACGCTGGGATCGTCCTCGGTCTTCTCGGTGGCGCCGGATTGCTCGCGGCGGAGCTTGGGGGGCGTGCCCTTGCGCGAGTCGGGGCTGAGGTTCAGCTTGGAGACTTTGCTGATGAAGGGGGAGGACATGATGAGGAGTAGAGTGATGATCAATGGATAGTGAATGGTAGGTTGTGTGTGATTGTGTGATGGAAGTTGTGGGTGGGATGGTACAGGGTACAGTCGAGCGAAACAGGAAGGTGCGTTGGATAGCAGTGGAGTGAGGTGGTATAGGGCAGTGGTCTCGAACAGGCAACTGCGCGTCGATCCCGAGTCGAAGCTGTTATACTATAAAGTAGTGGTTGTAGTAGTAGTAATTGTGCTGAACCTCCAGTCCGGAATCAAACAAGCGAAGGCAGTCGTATCGTATCGTATCGTATCGTATCGTGTCCAATCCTCGTCCAGTGGTGCTGTGCTTCGTAATTAGGTGTAGGGAAGTAGGGAGTCGTGAACCGTAAACTAATATACAAGTCGTGGATGTGGATTTTGAGTCAAGTGCGAAAGAACAATTATGAATCGAGAATCCAACCCCAGCGAGTCCCGACATCCCTCCCCCTTTTATGTTGCATCTTGTGTATCGTGACGAGGAGGACGCTGATGATGTCGATGCGTGTAGTTCGCAGCGCTATCCACCTACGTCATGCGCTACGAGCGTTGTGCTGCCGGAGGCTGGGCTACGCCAGTTCGACCTGTAAGCCCTACGCGTCACATCGGGGGGAGGTGGGCTGCAGGGATCTTCTTAGTGCTAGTGTCTGTGACATCGTCGCGGTCCTGCAGGGTGAGTGAGTGGTGGAGAGGGCACGGAGACAGGAACATACTGCATTACAGGGTACGGGGTGAAGGAAGAAGGGCTGGAGTGCAGTGGAGTGGAGAGGGTACTGTCCTGTAGCAAAAGTGGAGTGGGTGTAAATGCCGGACTCTTTTACTTTTTCATCATCGCGGATCCACTTGCTCGGCCGAGGATACGAAACTGGCTCGGGGTTTAGGAGGGGGAGGAAGCATTGCGATGGGTGCGAGGAGGTCGACACACAATCATCATTGCGTCAGGTTGTGCAGGGATGAGGGTCGTTGACTGTGAGATGTACCATGTGTATATCGTGTTAGGGCAGCGGGACGGGATCCCAGCTGCTCCTTCGACGTACGGGGGCGGCAGCGACATCAGCGTGCAGGAGTGCATGCATGAGCGGTAGTATAAAAGGATGGGTGGCTTCAGGAGAATCCTCTGAAGTGATTCTCACTTTGCTGCAGTCTACTTTGCTATAACTTTTCGCATACATACCATCCTTTTTTGAAGAGGGACTCCACTCTGCAGCAGTGGTGCAGTCCCTGTCTCCCTCCCCTGTCAGTCAACTCAGTACCTGGCTGTCACTGTCATCGAACAAAGACATGGATTCCGGTGTTTTGCTGGGGCCGGATGAGATCATGGGCGGCTCCACTTTTCACATCTCGGAGAATTGATCAAGCCACCGTAGCCACCCAGAGTGCCCGTGCCCACGAGTTTAATTGGAGGTCCCGCCCGCCGGTTTTACAGGTCGATGGTGACGTATCGGGCAGGGTGTCTGAATATTCAGCTGGATGACGGACAGTGGCGTGGATACGTATGCATTGGGTACAGGCTGCTACTGACCAACTTCTACAGCTGTGTAGTACATACTCAAGTAATACATGTACTTTTAAGTGACATATGTGTAGGATCAAACCCTTCTATCTCTTCAATTGTGGACTCAATAGACCCCTCCTAGTGTTTGCTAAACTAATCCATCATTAACAGCAACATGAATCATGCCTGTCTTGTGCATTGTGTTCGAGTCCGTTAAATGTCAACTTGACAATGGGGCATGCCAAGGGGTGGAATCCGGATCGTGGCGTGACGTAATGGGGGAAGATCGCGTGGCGTTGGCCCCGCCCGACATGCGGATTGGCTAGAAGGAGTGGTGGGCGGTCTAGACTGCCGTTAATTTATTCTTAGTGGGATCGGCAGCTTTGGGGTGGGATGGTTGCCGTATACATTTGTATGAGTACTTGTAAGTCAAAAAGAGAGTCAGTCAGTGGGTACCAGCCCTACCTGATCCTGCCAACTTCTACATAGTAATACATAGTACTCATCAATCCAGAAATTCACTAAACTAAACAGTCATGCATTAGCAATGCACATGAAATGTGCCTGACATAACCGCCACTGCAGCAGACAATCAACTTGTAACTATAAAGAGATATATTCTCAGACTACTAGTATACGCCAAGTATAACCCCAACCCCAACCCCAAAAAAGCTTGTAGTATAGTAAAGTCAAGTACACAATCTCCCAACCAGCTTTATAACCTAGCCCCCTAAATCTCCACCGTCTACCATTCCCCTCCCACCTCCCACCTTACTCAACCTCATCACCTTCCCCCCCTCCCCCAAAGAAAGACAATCAATCACCCCTTCCCCCGCTTCCCCTCTGTCCCAGCACCAGCACCTCCCCCCTCAGCACCACCCACCTTCTTCCGGCCCCTCACCTCCCGCAATACGCGCTCGTACCGCTCGAACCCCTTCCCCCAGCCCGTCTCCCCAGGCTGCGTCCGCACCCGAAACACATGCGCCTTGCGCGTCCACCCCATCCCCGAGCATCCCGGCTTGACCGCGTTGTGCGCCGCGCCGCCGGCCATCGGGTCCAGAAACCGGCTGACCTCCGTGTTGCCGGGGCTGACGTACAGCGGGTCGTCCTCGCGGTAGTCGTCCAGGGCGCACTCGGCGTCCGAGGCCAGCACCTCCAGCGCCGGGTCGGTGATGGCCGGGTCGAACGACCACGGGTGGTGCGCGGCCGCGTCGTCGGTGCCGCTTTTGGACGTCTCGTAGGACTCCGGCCGCAGGAGGTGGCGGTCCAGGTCGGATTCCGGGTGGCGGTTGCGGTGGTGGCTCGTGAGGTAGGAGGAGGAGGGAGTCGGGGCCGGGTTGGGGCTGGTGCTGGTGGTGTTGGTGTTGGTGTTGGTGTTGGTGTTGGTGCTGGTGTTGGTGTGGGGGGATCGCTTTGAAGGTGGTTTGTAGAGGGGAGGGAGGTGGGATGGGGTTTGGGGTTGATGGCCTAATCCCCTGGGGAGGAGGAGAGGGCGGGAGGCTTTGGTTTTGGTGGTTAGACGCCACATTGTAGGTAGACGGTTGGTTCGTCTTGGAATGAGATGTGCTTGGGGATTGTGAGGCTGATATACTCTGGGATTATTTGTAGTAGTTGTTGTTGGTTGTGATGGGGTGGGAAAGTCACGCTGTCAGTCACCCTGGGCCCTTTATGGGAATGGATGAGGTTGGCTTTGACGCTTCACATGCTGACGTCAAGATGCTCGAGTACGATCCGAACCATGGGTGCCGTGCGACTCGGGCCTGTCAGAACACCACCCCGGACTCGCTACCAACCATGACCGCAATGTCCGGTGTCTTCATTCATGGGTAATCCTGTCCGCCAGTCTGGGGTTGGTTAGACTTTGTGAAACAGCCTGCAGCCTAGCCTACATCCTGTCCCGCAACCGCTCCCAAGATACAACGCAACGTGCCCTAAGTAGAGAAGTCTCGCCATCCGACACTACCGCAAAGCTCAACCCACCTCCATTCATTAACTTAATCACCTTAACCTCATTTCGAACAGCATTCTCATCCATATGAACACACATCCTCCGAGACACCCACCTAAGCCTTGACCGCATACCTCCTCCGCAACAGCTCATCCACATACTCCAAGTAATACGTCCCCGGCAGCAAATCTCCCACATCCCCACGAGGCACATACTCCCTCCGCTGAAACGCCCGCTCCCTCAACCGACACATCTCATCCCACACCTCCGGCGCAGCGGGCACCCGGGCCGCCAACCGCCTGTGCAGATCCAGCCTCTCCGCCATGACAGTCGTGTCGCCGCGCACCACCAGCGTGAAGAGGGTGCTCGCCAGCCCGCTCCCATAACTGAACATGCCGATCCTCTTCCCCTGGAGCCGCCCACTCGGCACGGAGGCCAGCAAGCCCACGAGCCCGGAGTACAGACTGGCGGTGTACATATTCCCGCACTGGGCCGGGACCAGCAGCGCGGGCCGCACCCTCTCCTCAAAGCGCGACTGCGCCAGCGCCATCAACTGCTTCTCGAGACCCTTATCCCCAAGGGTACTCGCATCGTCCAGACCCGCCCCCCGGGGCCGCAGCTCCTCCGGAACTCCCCCAGTGCGCAGCAGATCATTCCACAGCAGCCGCGCATACGCCTTGGCCACGAGCTTGCAGTTGGGCGCGTGGAAGAGGAAGTAATCGAAGGCGTCGATGCCAACGCCCACCGCCCCCCTCGCCCGCCCTGCCTCATCCTCCTTCCCCTCCGCCTCCTCCTCCTCCTCCAACGCAAGCATCTTCTCCACCCAACCCCGATAACACCCATCCACCGCCTCGAGATAGCACCTCCCGGACCCCGCCCCGTCCACAACCGCCGCCTCCCGCCCAAAATCCGCCTTGAAGAAGTCCCACGCGTGCCGCATGTACGACGCCCGCGGCACCCCCGCCTCCACCACCACAGGCGCGTCCGCCCCCACAAGCATGGCCACACACCCCGCGCCGCCCGTGGGCCGGGCCGCCGCATCCTCCCGCGCATACGCGGCGATGTCGCCGCACACGACCACGGCGTCGCGGCCGTCCCACGCGGAGGACTCGATCCACGCGACGGCGGCCAGCAGCGCGGCGGTGCCGCCGTAGCAGGCGTTGTAGGAGTCCACGCCCTCGATGTCCGGGTTTTCTGGCGTGAAGAGCTGCATGAGCACCGTTTTGGTGGATTTGGAGCGGTCGAGGAGGGATTCCGTGCCCACGCCTAGGTAGCCGATGGAGGCTGGCGGGATGGTGTTTTTGTGGAGCAGGGCGGAGAGGGCGGTTAGGGCTAGGCTGTTGATGTCTATCCAAGCCGTGAAATCCGTGGGTTAGCGGTTTGCTAGGCGGGAGGGGACCGGGGAGGTTGCAAGGGGGTGGGGACTGGGGGATGAAGGGGATGGATCATGGATGGGATACCCTCGCGGTCATCGCAGAAGCTCATGTTCGTTTGGCCCAAGCCGATCGTGTGCTTGCCGGCGCTGACGTGCATGTATTTCTCGAGGTCGGGCTGGGGGACGTACTTCCTCCGGATCGTTTCGTTAGGTCCTCGCCACACCACACCGGATGAATCCTGGGAGAGATGAGTGGAGACAGCTTACGCGGTTGGGAAAGTAGATCTCGATGGCTTTGATGCCGACGTTCTGGGGGCGGGTCATGCTGAACAGGGGGGGTCACTGAAGATGATAATGACCAAAAATCGGAAGAAGATGATGATGTGCTTTGCGGAATGGTTGCGCTTGTTGCTTGATCTATAAGCTGTCGCACTCTGGAGTATTTATATCCGCTCGACCAGCCCGGTGGTCGGGGCTGGTGTCGATGTCGGTGTCGGTGCTGGACTAGGCGTCAGTGCTCGCGACTACGGTGTACATCAGAGCATACCGGCCACGATTCAGCTCGGACTACCGGGATTTCCTCTTCAGGTCGTCGACTATGGCTGCGGCCATGCTAGTCGACTGTGCTAGGGTGTGGTGCTTGAAGCTAAGAGGTTAGGTTCGTGGTAGGCTGCTGTTCGACCGTGGTGAGTGGGTGGGTGTGGGTTGGAACTGCCAGGGTGATGGGGGTTATACAGCACCACCTTGGCTGGACATGCGCAACCCAGACTTTGAACCGGTTGAAGTCAACAAGGTGCACTTTTCCTAGACAAATAGGTGAGGCACATTACCTATAATGAATGCTCTTGTCGGGCTCATTGGCGGACCTCAACAACCCTGACCCGAGCACGATCCATGTTGAACGCGCCCTTCTCTCAGTCTCGACCTCGACTGAAACAACCAGGGTCAGTGCAAGACATTTCATTTAAAGACAAACCCCGCAGCGCTAGGCAGTTTCCAGACAGAAATTGGTGGAAGACTATCTGACTCCTGATGCGGGTGTTAATGGTAAGGTTGATGATGATACTGCCTGGATGATGAACCAGCCACCCCTCCCAGCTAATAAGAGTGGAATCTCCCCGATTGGGGAATTTGCTTGAAAGCTTTTATCAATTTTCAGAGGGGACGATTTATCTTTGAAGTGGTTCGCATAGCCCTTTGTTCTTCTCAGGCGTGCAGTGGACATACATAGTTCTCCTCCTCCTCCTCCTCCTCCTCCTCCTCCTC